AAGAAGAAACGGCAAACTTATGTCTTATGGCACTTGAGGATGAGGTATCATCTAGTTCTTATTCTACTCCTTTATCTACTTCTGATGATTGTTTTTCATTGGATGAGTTACATAGTGCATTTAGTGATCTTTATGGTGAATTTATCAATTCCACCAAAGAAGCTAAATTTGCCAAGGAAAATGTCACCTCTCTTGAAGCTAAAATAATCGAACTTAATAAAGAGATGGAATTATTAAAATTGGAGAATAAGAAACTTGGCAAAGTTAGTGTTGATTCACTTTGTGCACAATGTAAAATTCATGAAAAGGAAATAGCTAGCTTGCATGAGCATCTAGGAAAATATAATAAAGCTAGTAAAGACATGCACTTTATAGTTCAACAAGGTCAATTTAATAAAAATGGCTCAGGTTATCAATCTAAAGGACCAAAGAAAGTTAACTTTGTAAAAGAAGGAGAAAGACCTTTGGATATAACTAAGGCTAGGAATAATTCATACCAAAAATATAATAGTAACTCTAAGATGACTCAATCTAGAATAGTCAATACCCCCACTAATTATAGGATGAGAAAATCTAGTCAATATAGGAATTATGGTGTTCATAGGTTTTCTAGAGAACCTAGAAATTATGAGAATTTTAGGAATGCACCTAGAAAATCTAATTATTTTAGGACACATAGAAAGTCACCTAGTCCATATAGATATATGTATGATCCTAGGGTTATTTGCCATTTTTGTGATGTTGTTGGGCACATTGCACCTGTATGTTTTAGAAAACTTAGAATGATGGCTAAGAATAGAAAAAGGGCACAGACTAATGTTTATAATGCTAGAACTAACTCTCAAGGACCCAAGATGGTTTGGGTACCTAAAACCCCCAATTAAATAAATATTTCAGGTGTGCTTGAAGGCATCAAGCGTACTTTGGTACCTTGATAGCGTATGCTCCAAGCACATGACTGGAGATGCATCCAAATTTATTTTTCTTAAATCTCTCGATGGTGGGAATGTTATTTTTGGTGACAACAACAAAGGAAAGATTATCGGAACCGGAACTGTTGGCAAAGACAAAGAATCTGGAATTGATAACGTGTTGTTGGTCAAAGGTCTCAAGCATAATTTGCTTAGTATTAGTCAGTTATGTGACAAAGGTAATCATGTCACTTTTACATCTAGTCATTGTCTGGTTGAACGCCTTTGTGATAAGAAAATTATCCTTACCGGCGATCGAATTAATAATATTTATATGATCAACCTAGATAGTACTTCTTCTGATTTTGCTCATTGTCTTATGACTAGAGAGGAAGAAATGTGGCTATGGCATAAAAGGATTGGTCATACCAATATGGAACTAATTAATAAATTAGTTTCAAAAGACCTAGTAATTGGTGTTCCTAAACTCAAATTTGAAAAGGGAATTTGTGATTCGTGTCAAAAGGGTAAACAAGTAAAAACCTCTTTCAAATCAAAGAAAGTTGTTTCTACTTCTAGACCATTGCAGCTTTTGCACATTGATCTCTTTGGACCTTCTCGAACTATGAGTTTAGGTGGTAATTACTATGCCTTGGTTATTGTTGATGACTACTCTCGTT